TTGACTGGCACTGCTGCTCCTCGTCAACCTACTCTGTTTATTCAATCTGCACCTTACTGTGTCGAACTCCTGGCTTTTGCTGATTCCAGGGGTCAGTTTTCTAAAGCTGACATCCTGAAGCATTTCTTGGTCCTCCTTCGTCAGCACCGAAGATGGGCCATTAGACTTGTTGCCTGGTGCCGAGACCTTCATGCCCTTTTGAGTTGGAGAACGTATCGGGGACTTGATGGGAGACCTTATGCCTCCATTGCCAGTCTTGGTTTGGCTGATAAGATAGTGAAGCCACACAACCAAGTCAAGTATGTAGGCTTCAGTCTTCTGTTTGTCCGCATGGTGGAGTGTCTCTATCCGGATCAAGTCTGTTTGGCCCGTTGGGTTTCGGTTCAGCTCGGTCCTAAAAAGAAAATATATAGCCTGTATTAGCTTTGCATCAAGGATATAATGAAACGGCTCTTTGCAGTGTCCTTGAAATCAGAGTAGATGAATTAACAAGACAGTAACTGACCCTGTGTTTGCCCACTCTCCAACCCAACCAAATCCATGGTGTGCTCTGACATTATTACACAGAAGGCAGAACAAGAAGCAGAATGGAAAATTCATTCAATATTTTGTTTTAAAAAAAATTAAAGCAACTACGATGAGGACTACAGAAAGTAAATAGATTACTTCGTTGTGTTGTTGGCAATAGGAACAAGCCATCGCAATGTTTTCTCCATCTCAGCTTTGATTTGAGGAACAGTGAGCTACAATCATATACAGCAAGAGGTGAAAATTGTAGTAAAAAACGACTCTTAAGATGAGTTTTAAGATTTTCTTAAACTAATATGTACCAGGCAATTGCACAACGCGGTCGCACGCGCGCACAAAGGAAGGAGACCAAAAAAGTGGGTCGAGAATAAGGATCAAATACCTCTTCCTTGACATGAAATGATTGCAATTTGGTCCGTAGAGCAGATTTTATGCTTGGGGGCAATCCCTGGTATAATGAATCCCTTGTATTAGGAGGCACTGAACTTGACCGAGATACCTGTATGGTTACAAAATCAATTTAAGAGGTTTTCAGATACTGATTAATGGTTATTCTTTTGGATTCCAACCATTTCGACAGTTCCAAAATACATTTAAGATTTTAAACCATCGATATCGACTCAACATATGATACTGATTTGCAGATGAAGAGCTTACAAGAGTGTCAATTTGTGTGATGATATTGGCATAGTGCAAGGCAAGGCCTGCAGAACCCAGTCTCTGGTGAGTATTACTCCTTGCTGGTTTATCGCTATCTGCATGCCGCCAAACATTAGGCAACTTGTTACAAATATGTAGTGATGCCTTCTGTAATTAATGTTAATACCCTTCAGGGAAACAACCTCTAACTACATAAATGAAAACATAAATACATAACTACGAAGTAATATATTTATCTTAATTATTTGCATGTATTGTGAATTCGCCGGAAGTTACAGTTGAAGCATTTTATCTGCACCTCCACTTTTGGCTGCGAACATGACTATTTGATCCCAGTTATGGTGGTTGTTTTAGAGGGTTCCTCAGTTTTGTGTGGATGTGTGGGGTGCTTATTTTAATTTTTTTTTTCATTGGGCCTTTCGACAAAATCAGTCTGCTTAAGGTCTTGCTATATTTGTTTGACTTGTTACAGACATCCTCATGATCACCAGACTGAGATGGCGGCAAGATGGAACCTTTAGGAACATATGTACATACAGGCGTGCATGCAAGCAAAGAATGTGCACATGTGCACATGCATGCACAGACACAGACAGGCGAAAAGAGTGGACACTCAACAACAGTCAACACTGAATATATCAAATGCATCATAGGCTTATGACCTATAATAAGTAAATGACAGCTAAAACTTACCCATGAGACCCAGCACTAGAAGGGCGTGAGAGATTCAACAATGGTTAGAAGAACAAGAAGCAGAGATGATAAATATCAGTGTCGAAGAACATCTTCAACTTCCCAACATATGCATTTAAATGAAGGGTATTCCTTATGACATTGTAGGGTCAAAATTATCTACCTTAACTAGTTGCGGATGAACGCATCCAGTTAAAGTAGATAACTTTGGTTCACATGTTGATCCTGTTAAATTCACCCTACGGAAGAGGGTTTTATTTTTATATAGGTCCATAATTTCCAATAGACTCAAAAGCCTATTGTTAATTACCTTTTCTAAAGAAAAGAACCTTCGATTAACAGTCATTAAAATAAAATAAAAACTCATAAAGAAAGAAAAACACAATAATTTTATTTTAAAAACTTGCATATACATGGCTTAACCTGGGGGCATACGCCAAGTGTACATATTTTAAATAAAATCTTAGACTAGAGATGTGGTAGTTGAATTTGGATTTGGGTTTGCCTTGGAGACGTGAAATGGAGTTTAAATTTTGAGTCCAGTTTAGCAACATGGTGGTCAATTTTGATTTGGAGCCTAGCTTAAAGACGTAGAGGCCAACTTTGATTTGGGTTCTAGTTTAGCGACGTAGAGAGCAAGTTTGATTTGCCCCAATTTAGCGACATAGGGGTCAAATTTGGATTCGGGTTCCAGTTTAGCGACGTAGAGGGCAATTTTGTAATTTTCAAGCTTAGGTATGTCAAGATCAATTTTGTAATTTTCCAGTTTAGGGATGTGGATGTGATTAACATATTTTACATCCTCGTTTATCTTTGTTTCTGTACATATTGAATTGCTACTCGGGTATTTTTAGTGAATTTTCAGAAAAAAATTGTTTTTGAATAAAGAAAAGCCCAAAGAAGCCCAATGAACCCAAAAAATCCAAATTCTAGAAGAATCAATCAAACAACAATCAAATGTACATCAGGGAATCAAGAAAAAAAGAAAATATTCAATTACTTGGAGGACAAGAAAAATAAAATCTAAAATTAATTCAGATTTAAAATATCAACAGCAAAGAAAAGGTAATTTTTTCCAATCTAGAAGTCAAAATCTAACATATTATATATGAAAATCAACTATCTCAAGGAGACGGATCCCTCCAGATTGGCAGATTCCTCATATTCTATCATTCACATTTGATTCTGGCAGAAATCCGAATTTAATCAGATTTTAGACTCTTGTTTGTATTACGAAAATATTCAATTAATTGCTGACCAAGTCCAATCCTACGGTTATGAAGATTGCTTGGAGATCAAGTTTAATCCAACGATTGTGAGAGATTCTTGTATAGTATAATTAGGGGCCTAAGGCTATTGTATTTTACACATTCAATTCCTGAAAATTCAATAAATTTCTTCGTTTTGCTTGCTACTTTGGAGTTCAAGTTCTTCTCTTTTTTAGTTTCTTTAGTTTAGTAAGTTGTTTAATATCTTTATTTTATTTTCTTGTTCTTGTTCTTGTTCTTATTCATCTTGCTCTTTCTTCTCTATTCTTTAATTTTTCTTGTATCTTCTTTTCTCTTTATTTAATCATGTGTAGCTAATCATCATTAGGAAGCTTAGTATAACGAAGCTAGGTAACTAATCTAGATTAATCAAAAGATCTCTTTAGGTTAAGTAAAGAAGTCGATTAGTTTACATTAATAAAAGCTAGGGTTAATTATAATTTGATAGGTTATAGACTTTAATTAGGCATAATCTATACTTAGGAGATTAAACCCTAGTAATAAAAGTCTAGATTAATTAATTAGAAATACGAGGATTAACTAATTGATAGGTTATAGTTTCTAATGAGACAGAGCTTATGCTTTTAGGGTTCTAGTCAATAAAAAGATTAGGACTAATTGATAGGTTATAAGTTCTAACAAAATATAGCTTATGCTTTCAGGGTTCTACCAAATAAAGAGATTAAATAAAAGATCTAACTTAGAAACCTAGTGGAGTTAGCCTAAGTAACCTAGTTTAAGTCTATTAATAAAAAAGCAAACATCCTTCAAACACAAAACCTTTTTTCAAACCCTAGAATCTTAGGATAGAATTTTCTTACAAAATTTGCTAGAGGAGGACATGTATAGGCTACAACAAAAGCTATACACTTGCGGAATATAATAAAATAACACATTAGGAGGACGAATTTGGAATAGGCCAGTTTAGCAAGGTGCCAAGGTGTCGGTCAAATTTGAAATGTCCCAGTTTAGAGACGTAGAAGTCAATTCTGTAATTTTGCGGTTTCAAGACATGACCGTCAAAATTGATATTTTTTAGTTCAGGGATGTGGAGGTCAAATAAGGAATAGGCTCAGTTTAGCGACGTGGAGATTAAATTTGGATTTAGGGTCCAGTTTAGCGACATGGAGTCAAATTTGGATTTGACCCAGTTAACAACGTCAAAGGTCAAATTTGGATTGTGGTCTAGTTTAGAGACATGAAGGTCAAATTTGGATTTGGGGTCCAGTTTAGGCACGAGGAGGTCAATTTTGTAGTTGTT